TTCGCGGGGGTCACCACCTACGATGACTTCACCGACGAGTTGGCGCGCCTGGTCCTCTATTTTGTCTATCTGGCCATTGGCGAGTTTGTCACCATGTACATCACCACTGTCGGCTTCATCTATTCTGGAGAGCACATCAGTGGAAAGATTCGTGAGCACTACCTCGAGAGCTGCATGAGGCAAAACATTGGCTTCTTCGATAAGCTTGGCGCCGGTGAGGTCACCACGCGCATCACTGCCGACACCAACTTGATCCAGGAAGGCATTTCCGAAAAGGTCGGCTTGACGCTCCAGGCTCTTGCCACCTTCATTGCCGCCTTTGTTATTGGGTTCGTCAGCTTCTGGAAGCTTACCCTCATCCTCTTGAGTACCGTTGTCGCCTTGACCCTTGTCATGGGCGGTGGTTCTCAGTTCATCATCAAGTTCTCCAAGCAGAATATTGCTGCTTACGCCGAAGGTGGCTCGGTTGCCGATGAAGTGATCAGCAGTGTTCGCAATGCTATTGCTTTTGGCACTCAGGACCGCCTGGCTCGTCGGTACGATGCTCATCTTACTCGCGCCGAGCACTTTGGCTTCAGACTCAAGGGTTCCATTGGTGTCATGGTCGCCGGCATGATGACGGTGCTGTATCTGAACTATGGCTTGGCCTTCTGGCAGGGTTCCCGCTTCCTTCTTAGCGGCGACACCGAGCTCCGCAAGATCCTTACTGTTATGATGAGTGTGATGATAGGAGCTTTCAACCTCGGTAACATTGCCCCGAACCTGCAGGCTTTTGTCACCGCCTTGGGTGCTGCTGCTAAGATCTACAACACCATCGACCGTGAGTCTCCCATCGACTCCTCCAGCGAAGAGGGTGGCAAGCTCGAGAATGTCGTCGGTACCATCCGTTTGGAGAACATCAAGCATATCTACCCCTCCCGTCCTGATGTTGTTGTCATGGAGGACGTCAGCCTCGTTATCCCTGCTGGCAAGACCACTGCCCTTGTCGGAGCTTCGGGCAGTGGCAAGTCAACCATCGTTGGGTTGGTCGAAAGGTTCTATAAGCCCATTGAAGGAAAGGTTTACCTCGATGATGTCGATATTTCAACGCTCAATGTGCGTTGGTTGCGCCAGCAAATCGCCCTTGTGTCCCAGGAACCGACCCTCTTCGCTTGCACCATCTACGACAACATTCGCCATGGCTTGATCGGTACCAAGTGGGAGTCTGAGTCCGAGGAGCAGCAGCGCGAGCGTATCTATGAGGCTGCCCGAAAAGCCAACGCGCACGACTTTATTACCAGTCTTCCCGAGGGTTATGAGACCAATGTTGGCGAGCGTGGCTTCTTGCTCAGTGGTGGCCAGAAACAGCGTATTGCTATTGCCCGTGCTATCGTATCCGACCCCAAGATCCTGTTGCTCGATGAGGCCACTTCTGCTCTCGACACCAAGAGTGAAGGCGTCGTCCAGGCCGCTCTCGAAGTTGCCGCTGAAGGTCGTACTACTATCACGATTGCCCACCGCCTGTCTACCATCAAGGATGCCCACAATATCGTTGTCATGGCCCAGGGACGCATCGTCGAACAGGGCACCCACGCTGAATTGCTCGCGAAGCGTGGCGCTTACTACAGGCTCGTCACTGCCCAGGCTATTGCAGCTGTCAATGAGATGACGGCTGAAGAAGAGGCGGCGCTTGATCAGGAAGAGGAAGCGGCTCTTATTCGCAAGGCGACCCGGAACAGCCAAAAGGAAGGAGGAACTGCCGGCTATGTGGAGGATCCCGAAGATAACATCGCCGAAAAGTTGGACCGCAGCAAGTCGCAACAGAGCGTCAGTTCCGTTGCTATTGCCGCACGCAAGAAGGAAGAGCCCAAGGAGTACGGCCTGTGGACACTCATCAAGCTTATTGCTAGCTTTAACAAGAAGGAGTGGCACATGATGCTCGTTGGTATCTTCTTCTCGGCCATCTGCGGTGCTGGTAACCCTACTCAGGCTGTCTTCTTTGCCAAACTCATTAGCTCTCTGTAAGTTGCTGTCTCCCAGCTGTTTCTTTTGGCAAAATTGCTAACCGGTCATAGCTCTCGCCCCATTGTCAACGAAGAAATTAGAGCCTCCATCAAGTCGGATGCCTCCTTCTGGTGTCTGATGTACCTCATGCTTGCTCTTGTGCAGTGCCTCGCCTTCTCCGTCCAGGGCTGGCTCTTTGCCAAGTGCAGCGAACGTTTGATCCACAGAGTTCGCGACATGGCTTTCCGCTCCTTCCTTCGCCAGGATGTCGAGTTCTTTGACCGGGATGAAAACTCGGCGGGTGCGCTCACTTCGTTCCTAAGCACCGAAACCACGCACGTTGCCGGTCTGTCTGGTGTCACCCTCGGTACAATCATCATGGTTCTAACTACGCTCATTGCCGCTTGCACTGTCGCTTTGGCCTTGGGCTGGAAGCTTGCCCTTGTGTGCATTGCCACCATCCCCATCCTTCTCGGCTGTGGCTTCTATCGCTTCTGGATGATTGCTCACTATCAGCGCCGCGCCAAGAGCGCTTATGCTGGATCTGCCAGCTACGCTTCTGAGGCCATCACTGCCATGCGTACTGTCGCTTCCTTGACTCGTGAGCAGGACGTTCTTCAGCACTACAAGGACTCACTGGCCAAGCAACAGCATGCCAGCTTGATCTCGGTTCTCAAGTCCAGTCTTTTGTTTGCTGCTTCCAACTCTCTTATGTTCCTTGCTTTTGCCTTGGGTTTCTGGTACGGTGGTACTCTGATTGCCAAGCACGAGTACGACATGTTTACGTTCTTCATTGTGTTTTCGTCGGTTATTTTTGGCGCCCAGTCTGCCGGTTCCGTCTTCAGCTTTGCTCCCGATATGGGCAAGGCCACCGAGGCCGCTCGTGACCTCAAGGAGCTCTTTGACCGCAAGCCGACTGTCGATACCTGGTCGAACGAAGGTGACTCGATCAAGCAGGTTGATGGTACCATTGAGTTCCGCGATGTTCATTTCCGCTACCCGACTAGGCCCGAGCAACCCGTCCTCCGCGGTCTCAACCTGTCCATCCAGCCTGGTCAATATGTCGCTCTTGTAGGAGCTTCTGGATGCGGCAAGTCCACGACCATTGCCCTTTTGGAAAGGTTCTATGACCCTCTTAGCGGTGGAATCTTTATCGACGGACGCGAAATCAGCAGCCTCAACGTCAACGAATACCGCAGCTTTATTGCCCTCGTCTCACAGGAACCGACTTTGTACCAGGGTACCGTCCGCGAGAACATCATCCTCGGAGCCAACAACGACGTGACGGACGAGCAGATCAAGTTCGCCTGCCAGGAAGCCAACATTTACGACTTTATCATGTCTCTCCCCGATGGCATGAACACTTTGGTCGGTTCCAAGGGTGCATTGCTCTCGGGTGGCCAGAAGCAGCGTATCGCTATCGCCCGCGCGCTGATCCGCGATCCCAAGATTCTGTTGCTTGATGAGGCGACGTCGGCTCTGGACTCTGAGTCGGAGCACGTTGTGCAGGCGGCGTTGGATAAGGCTGCCAAGGGTAGAACTACCATTGCGGTTGCGCATCGTCTCAGCACGATTCAGAAGGCGGACATCATCTACGTGTTTGACCAGGGCAGGATTGTTGAGCAGGGAACGCATTCGGAGTTAATGAAGAAGAATGGCAGGTATGCAGAGTTGGTTAACCTGCAGAGTCTGGAGAAGCATTAAGCGGGGATGAAGACCAAAAAGTTGAAAAGTTTATTTTTTTATTTTTTTGCATTTGGCAAGGCGTTATATTAGAGGGATAATCTCACCACTCTATTGTGGAAGATGCTGGATTTGGTCATTTGAATTTTTATACATGGCAAGAATGAGGTCAGTTGGGATATATCAGAGCTGACAATATCTTCAGCGATGGGAGACACGACTGGCGGATTGTTGCACATGTTAGACGATACCACTGTATGTACGTACGTATTATTAATGGCTAGTATGGTTGATGGATGAGGGGGATGTTGAAAAAGAATAGAGGTAGACACCAACTCACATTATATCAACATCTTTTGGTGTTACAATAACACACGAAGCCTGTGTTTGAGTAAGCGATGCGAAAGACGCCTGTGAATGTCTCCGAATCCCATGTTACAAGTATTAACACCTGATCATACATTTACCAGCGAAAACTGTTATAAGCACTCGTGATTGCCACCACCATCTCCCTAAGAGCGGGGCAAGTTCCCCCTTAGTGTAGACCTGTCACTTTAGCGCTGTGGGACCCGCCCAGTAGCCGCCATTACCGCCACTTTGGGTCGCTTTGCTCCACCTACTGTCACTGAGGAGGGGTCACCAGGGGCCGCGGGGGCAACGTCATGGGGTTTCTTTCATCTTTCCATTCCCGCTTTCCATCGGTTCCTTTTCGTTACTTAAGTCGCCATTGTGAGTCTAGACTTGTTCCTTTTTTACACACAGCCTCATTCACAAACGGGGTGGACAAGTGTCCTTTTGTAGCGGTGGTATTGTATGGTGCTGCACTCGAACGGATTTCAACCGATTCATATGCAAGTCCGAGTGCGACTTGAGACGCTCAGACCCTTGCTCGCATCGATCATTTCATATTTGACTGGACGACATTCTCCCTCTTACATCTTCCTCGCAGCATCGCCTACATATACATACATACATATATTTGTCCCCTACCTACCTAAACTTGACATCAGCCCCAGGCTGGACTGGCTGGGCATCAACGCGGGTTTTTGTCATTCTTCCTTTTCGTTTATCGAGCACCAACAAACTCTGGCAGCTCGACACATCTACATACCTTTACTGTATCCGAGTCGCACCATTTTCGCCTGCTGTGAATATATATATATATACTACCTACTACCACTACGACTCCGCTCGACGTCTTTGTCAAGCAATCACTCTTCGCGCGCGTCGAATCTGGACTGGACTAGAAAACCCGACGACATTGATACTCTGCAACAGCGTCGAGGGATCAACCGAACCGAACCGAACTGAAACGAAGTACAACATCAATAACGATGCGCCTCCTCGATCCATCGTCATCGCTGGTGGGAGTAGCAGCGCTCCTCTTTTTATCTTCGCTACCCAACGGTCCCCGCGGTGCAGAAGCAGCAAAGTCTGGCAAAGCTAAGGATGCGGTTTTGCTTTCTAATGTATGTCTTTTCCTTCCTTTTCCCCTTCCCTTCTTCCCCTTTTCCCTTCCCCTCTCCCTCTCCCTCCCCTCTCCCTCTCCCTCTTTTTCCCCTCTTCCCATTCCCATCCCCATCCTCATCCCCATCCCCAGTACCAAAAAAGCTAACGAACCTAGATCCGCTCCCTAACCCTCCTTCCCAACTCCAAAACCACCGGCCGCCGCCTCCCCCCCATCCCCCAGTTAACATGCACCTCCTCCCGCACCCTCTGCGCCCTCGCCTCCCCGCACATCTCCCTGATGCGCTGCACCAACCAAGGACCCCGCTACGACAAAGAAGACATCCAATGGTCTTGCACCGTTCCTTCGCTACCTACCACTTTACAATTGGGGTCCACGGACGTGATTTGCGAAGGGTACGATGGACCAGACGACAACTATGTACTAAAGGGGAGTTGTGGGGTTGAGTATACCCTTGCGTTGACGGAGGAGGGGAGGAGGAAGTATGGACATGGACATGGCGGATGGGGTGGGGGAGACCAGGACGGAGAAGAAGGGGAAAATAAGTGGGCGGGGTATTTGTTTGGGGTGTTGTTTGTGGGTGTGTTGGGGTGGATCGTGTATAGTGCTTGTGTGCAGGCTGGGGTGAATCGAGGGGTTCCTGGGGCGGAGGGACAGAGGAGAGGTTGGGGAGGAGGAGGAGGAGGACCTGGGGGAGGAGGTGGAGGAGGGGATTGGAATGATCCGCCGCCACCGTATCCTGGATATGGCAACAAGCCGAGTGGAAGCCAGCAGCAATCGGGACAGCAACAGCAGCAGCAAGGATGGAGACCGGGGTTCTGGTCGGGACTAGCGGGTGGTGCGGCGGCTGGGTATCTAGCTGGACAGAGGGGGAGGGGGAGAGAAGAGTATGATCATCGCAATAGGGGGTATAACTACGGAAGCACATGGGGTTCGTCGTCGGGGTCGAGGAACAGGAGTTGGGGATCGTCTTCGTCACGGAGCTATTCGGGTGGCGATAACGGTGGCAGTTCGGGGACGACGACCCATGAAAGCACCGGGTTTGGATCGACGAGTCGCCGCTAAACATAAAGGGCTTGAGTGGATGAGTCATGCCACTGTTATATTCACGTACAGACACAACAAACGAAATATATACACGATGCAGAAAGGGTATCGACATAATGTTTGCGCGAGCGTATAATGATTCTTTGGAAATTATACAAAGGCTTGCTCTGAAAAACAAATCAGAGTTTAAATGGCTTTCATCTCCCGTCTCCATTCCATTCCATCCCATCCCATCCCATCCCATCCCGTTCCGTATCACACACAGACGCTATTCCCGTCATGTTCATGCTCCCATAGTGTTGTTGTACATCAAAGCAAATGGATGCTGATCGCCTACCCCCCC